TTTTTTTTTTGTCTTTGTTTCTTACAGTTGTCATGAATAAGGAAATCATGTCACGTGTGGTGAAGAAGAGGCAGGCGGACCCAAAGGTCGTCCAGTATGTCTGGGAGGCCATCGAGGTCATACGCAACCAGAAACAAATCGCAAACATGGACAGGATCTCAAAGTAAGTCCACTGCAGATAACACGGATGTAGTAATGTTATTTATGAACATAAATGGCTGTGTCAGCTCCCCAGTCAGTGTTTTAGGTCATTAAAGGCAGAGTGTGAAGACATTTTATCCCCTTAGGTCATCACTGTGCTAACATGTCATCGCTCAAACTACCTTCATGTTGCTATGGTGAGCTGTTTGAATCATTTGTCTGGTTTGGTTCTTTGATGTTCCAGGGTGACCGATATTTGAAGCTCTTAGAAAAACTCTTCCTACTTAATCTTTAATCTTAATCTCTCTAGATTAAGACGTCTAGAATCTAAAAAGCTTTCAAATTTCTTTCTGTATTTTTATTTTTGTAGGGCTGAAACTGCGTCTCATCATTGTCAGTAATTTGTTTGCTTGGTCCTTTATTCCAAGTGGTAGAAAACGGTGAACGTGTTATCAAGAACTTTTTTTTTTCCACTACAAAATAATATCCAGCAGAAAAGCATCAAAATGCTAAACACAAGTGTTCCGATTTGTTTGATTGTTGTTTGTGGCCAAATAATTATCATCAACATAACAGATGCTTTTGTGCAGTTGTCGTTAATGTTGCCTTTGGCTTGTTATCGTATTCAAATGAGCACCATTTATCCTTGTGGGATGCCCTTGAGGGATTGTTCTTCATGTTTGTTTTTGAATTCATTTTAAATGTACCCAAAATGAAATGCGTCATATCTGTAATCACTTTGATCTACAGCTACAAGCCGTAATTACGTGTTTTCGTTTAATCAGTTTCTAGATGTAAACAGTGAAAACTACCTAGACCAAGATGATGATCTTAAAACAATTATTTTTAAACCGTCACATTCAAGAGCCTGCTTGGTGAACGACTGCGTCATTCAGGGATAGGTGGACTAATCAGTTATTATTGTAATAGATTCAGGTCTAGTTTGATGTCTTTTAGGACTGTGCAGCGTTTAGTTTTTAATCACTATAGTTTTTTTTTTTTCATGTGTTACATAAAAGATTTCTACTCTAAAGCTATGTCGTGTTTCTGCTTATTACGCTCTGAGTCAGGCAGCTCTGTCTGCAGAGCGAGACAGACCCCTGCTTCAACAATGAGTAATGAATCAAAGTTTACTTTAACTATATCTTACATATATCCTCTAACTTCAGTAATGCATGTGTGGCAGCAGTTTCCAAAGTTTGATTTGTGGAAATAATACAATAAATATAAAAGCTGTTGATTTCTGACTGGCTTTGCCGTTTTAACGTGTTGATCCCAGTCTTAACTGATTTACTAAAAACAAGTTGTATATTAACACTAATTAACTGAGGCTGGTAGACAAACACCTTCCATGTTTTGTGACAAAGCAGTTTTGAGAGCAGAGTCTAGTGCATTTGTGTCTGAGTAGTTTTCTTGCTGGAAAGGGCTCTCACTTAGGTCAAAAAGCAGTGAAAATGTTCTTAATGCGGTGTGCGCTTGATTTGATGTGCGTATTTTACGATGATTAAAATCTGTGTTGCTTGTGTCTGTATCCTCAGTTGTGCACGGCTTTAGTTTTGGTGTTGGTTTCAGGGTTGGACGGGTGTAGCAGGCGCCTATCTGAGTGGGGCGCGTCTGCTACAACCTACTTTAGTCGAGTCACTGAGCATCCCTTTATACAACCATATCTTCAAAAAAAATTGCACTAGTGTAAAACTCAAACAGTAAAACTGAGCAGTTTAACTGAAGAGGTGAAACATTGTTTATGAATGTGAACAGTTGATCATGTTTTTCACATCTCAAAAACATTTTTAATATCACTGAAATGTTGCTGTGTCCAGGAGTGCTAGGTGTAATGTGATCCAGAGTGCTGCATTACTGTAAGCACCTTATGTGCTTCAGGAGACTTACTGTACTAAATTCAGTCATCAGTCACAATTACACCATTACTTACATTACAAATGTTCTTCAATTATCTGCATTCTGAGTAAACAGGAAAAAAATTCAAACATGTCTTCTTCCTGTGCACTTGGCTGTAATCAGCTGGAGTGCAGATTTAGACATTGTTTTTATTTTCATTTCACAAAAAGTTTAAACTGCGCCAAGGACAGAAAACAGATTTTGGACTTTTTGTAGGCATCTGCGCAGACCGCATGCTAACACAAAGGTAGCGAAGAACCCAAGCTGGTGATGTAGTTGAGTTCATGCTGACCCGAGCCCAGCAGCCAGAGCCTGATCTTCAGTAGGTAGCAAGAGCTGTCAGGCTTGTTTCATGTTTCTGCAGTTCAAAGTGTGGCCATCACTTCAAAGTCTCTTTGGGTTGGTTTTCAGATTTGGTCTGCATTGTTGGGTTTTTGTTCATACAAGACACTTAAAAAAAGATTATATCTATCCTTGTTGAGATAGAGAATTGAGTCAGCGTTATAGTGTTAAGGGGTAATTATGTGACAGTGTCACAGAGTAATGAGTAATGGAAAGAATTACTTTCTCAGGTGAGTAAATAAGTAATATAGGGCATTACTTTTTGTTGTTTTTGTTTTAAGTAACAAGTAATGTGTAATACGTTACTTTCTTTGAATAGCAATCCCCAACACTGACTCTTTCCAATGGATGAAATGGCACAGAGACTGTGTTGTTTACAGAGTGTGGCTAGTATCATAAACTGTACGGGCGCCACTGTCGGCCTTCAAGGTTAATATTCACACACCTGTGGAGAAAGTGCTTATGCACTGTTTAGGCAGTGTTGGGAAGGTTACTTTTAAAATGTATCCCAATACAGAATACATACCCCAAAATGTGTTTTGTAACGTATTCCGTTACGTTACTCAATAAGAGTAATGTATTCTGAAATATAATATATCTTAATATATTATCTTGCTTTTTACAACTACACGAATGTACTATTGCTGTGTGATTTATTACTATTACTGAAGGGTTATTATTGTATTTACATGCTTCCAGCTCTCGTTTTTGTTCGATGACAACTTGTACTTTTCCACCCTCCTTTTTCTCCCTCCTCGCGCTCAGACACAACGTGTATGGCAGTCCATTCTCCCTGCAGCACGGACTACACTGCCCATGAGGCTACATGCTTTAGGGCGATGCCTGTAGCATTCTGCCTGTTAGCTTAGCACAACAACAAAAAGCCGCTCTCTCACCCAGGAAACACACAGTCGCAGAGAGAGCGCTGTCACCCTGTAACCATGGCAACCGCAACGCTGCCACCTGGAACAACAGAACATGTCAAACAAAACCCAAACAGTCCTGACCCGCCACAATATGAAACAGGAAAATAACTCTGTAACGGAATACACTTACTCATATTTTACTCATATTTTGTATTTTAACCTCCTAGGACCTGCCGTCCACATATGTGGACATCACATTATGGGTTATTTAGACCAAAATACTAAATTTTTCTCAACAATGGCCTGATATCCACTTACGAGGACATTATTCTGCTACTGTTCTATCGAAATTTTAAACAAATATCCTCATATGTGGCTCTCATTTTTCTTAGAAACAAAAATCAGGTT